TGTGCAAAATCCCCCTCTTTGCATATGAGGAATGAAGCTATCCTGTTATTGACATGCAAAATGAGTCTCCATGGCTCTGCTCAAGGCTCCCACACCCCATGGCAGCCAGCCCTGGGATGGGGAGAATATATTTTTTTGGACACCCCAATCTCTGGACCCTGTCCCAGTTACACTTTGGGGGGGGCCCTGGATGTGCCCTGTTACAATATCTGCTTTTCTCCCCCAGCTTCCGTCACCCATCATCACATCGACTTCCCTGACTGACCCTCCTGCCTCCCTCTTACAAGGGCTCAATGGATTACCTCAGGCCCACACAGGTAATCCAGGATAACCTCTCCATCTCAAGATCCTAAACTTGAGCACATCTGCCATGTGAGGTCACATGCTCCTCTTCAGTTTCTGAAGGTTTAGACATATGGACATCTTTGGAAGGCCACCATTCTGCCTAGCACAGTAGCTTATCCCTCAATTTCTGGGCTTGGTTCTCTATCCAAAGAACCTCACCACCCCTCTCGGTGAAATGCTGCATGTCACCCTGTCCTCCCTTCCCAAAATGGTTTCAGTATAGTTCTTCTTCTTGTCCATTGCTTCCAAGTCACAGCCTCACATGATTGTATCATCACAGGAGTCTGGATCACATGCCCAAAACTTAGCTGCCAGGAAAGATTGGAAAGCAAGCTCTGACTTCTTTCTTAAGGACAAGCAGGCTCCCAAGAGGAAATGGTCAAAAGTTGCCAGGTGGTCAAAAGTATGACAGATACCTGGTAAACCTAGTCGAACCTCAGGATGTGGTATGGGTTCGGTTGCCACTACCCCACCGTGGAGGAGTATTTGCAAACTGGGACTAGGACAACGGGGATGGTAAGCGAGCCTGACACTGTGACTCAGGAGTGATCGTAGATTTGGGAATGTAAGGCCAGTCTTAAGAGGTACATAACTGAGGTTTCATAGTGGGGAAAGAAAGGCTTGCGTACCGAAGAGAGATTGGACTTGTGTGTCTCCAAAAGACAACACCAGGGCTACAGAGGGATATAGTGGCGGAGTGTTCAGCCCCTCAATCAGCATGCTCCAAAGGCAATGGATTTGTTGTCACTTAAAGTTTTGAGACAGAAACAGGATGGCTAGATGTTGGGGCACAGAGAAGGGATTCATACATCAGATGCAAATTGCTCTAGGTGGCTTCTAAACTTTATCATTTTGTTCTTACCCAATAATCCAGTTATTGTGTGGGGGCAGGATACAAAGGCCCAACTTATGATTTGACATGGAAGTAGTACTTTTAAGGAGAAAATGTTTGATTATTTTAAAATCTCACTCCTATATTTTATTTTCTGATTCCTGATTCCCTACTCTTTTTCTGTAACAGTAGTTAAGTAATGTTTTATTTTATTTTATTTTTTTCAGATTTTATTTATTTTTAGAAAGGGGAAAGGAGAGAGGGAGAGAAACATCAATGTGTGGTTGTCTCTCGAGTGCCCCCTACTGTGGACCTGGCCTACAACCCAAGCAACCCAGTGCCCTGACTGGGAATCAAAACGGCAACCTTTTGGTTTGCATTCCAGCACTCAGTCCACTGAGCCACACCAACCAGGGCAAGTAAGTAACATTTTAAAACAGCAGAGCTTGTTTCCACTCTTGATTCCTAGCCTAGATTTTCTCTCAGCCTGCCGTGGCGGTGGTCTTGACGTGCCTTTTGTGTTCTGCAGTGTCTTTATTTGAACGACAGGCCTGGAGAGGGTGATCACCTTGTGTCAATGCCACATGTTGACTGGATAAAAGTTGATGAATTTATATAGGAACTAAGCGATTCCAGTATGTTTTCCTTCTCTGTGTATGCAATTCCCTGTCTGCATTCCGACCTTGGCGGAGAAGCCCTGGTCAGGTATCCCAGGCGATCGCCTCCAAGCAGAGATGGCAGTGACAGGCATTGGGCTTGGGAGCCGGGGTCTTGTTGACCTGCTTCTTTCCAGACTGCCCAAAGGGTCACACATGAACGCACATGCACGAAATGAGTTTTGGAAAGTTTCTTTGCAAAACTAGCTCCAGTGCAAGGGATGACAGACGTTTCGAAGCTAATAGTCGAGATGTCTTTTTTTGGATTTAACCTGACCTTCCTTTGTTCATATTCAAACCCCACATTGCTTGATACAACACAGATTTCCTGAGTGACCCGGGCACCATTAGGCAGGAACTTAGGCCTTTGTATCCTGTTTTGTAAAATGGGAAAAACAACTTCTGTTCATCTGCAAAGCACTAGCACGCATAGGTTTGCAGATTGGATGCCGCAGTCTCTGAAGCTGTCATGGTTCCCCTGTTCAAAGAGTGGTGTGTGTGCGTGTGCATGTGTGTGTGTGTGTGTGTGTGTGTGTGTGTGTGTGTGTTGGTGAGGATAAGAAGAGGAGCCCAGAGGCTGCAAAGAAATTTTTTTTGTGCTTTGGTGACCTCCTGCTACCCAAATTCACCCCAAATAAAAAGTAATTATGTGGTATATCTATAGGTATTTATTCCGCCCTACCCCCTTTGTTCTTAGAAAGCATTCCTTCTGGGTTGTTTTTAGTCCCGAGGAAGCAGCTTGGCTGCATGAGGATAGAGGGGATTGTCATGAGCAGGTGTTGCAATTAAATAAAATTTACAACAAAAGATGCTCTGACAGATGTTCATGACAGGGCTAATACTTGCAGCCTGAACAGTGATTAGCTAGAAATGTTAAGCAGCAATTCCCAGAAATGACTGTAATTAGTAATCTTTTAACACAGCTAAGCCAATTAACAGCGTCTTTTCCTAGAAGTTCTCTAGAATCTATAAATAGAATATGGTGAGCAACCCCCGCTCACTATGTTCACCTAATTCTCCCGCAAAGCATCCCCTTCCGGGTTTCCCTTTCTCCCTCCTTTCTCCACCCATCCCTCCCCTGCAGGCAACCCAGCCTGCTCTAATCCCCGCCTCTTTTGTGTCTGCCAGGGAGATAGAAAAACAGCCCGTTCCACAGAACCGTTTTAGGGTGACCCCAGAGTGACTTAATTAGGATCCCAAGAATGAGTCTCAAATCTGAAGAGGTTCTGGGATGTTCAGGCTACTGAGAACGGAGTGGGCCGATGCAGGTCTGGGCACTAGCTGGGTAAGGGGCTCTTCTCGGGCCAGACCTGCTCAGGGAACTAGACAATTAGCTTGAGCCAGAACACTTGCATCATTTCCAGTGGGTTCCTTCTTCTTCCTTCCTTCTTTCCTCCTTTCTTCCTTACTTTAAATATTTAGTCACAGATAATTGAATGCGTCCTGTGTGATAAACATTGTACTAGGTAATGGGATAAAGTGATAAAGTGATAAACTGATCAGGGAGGTTGAGCAGTATGGATAGAGAGAACCAGAGAGAACCATTTTTAATAACTTTAAGGAAACTTTTTTGTAAAGCTTTGAAGTGGAAAAGAATGAAGGTGAAACCTTACCTTACATAATGTGTAAAATTCAACTCAAAATGGATCAAAGACCTAAATATAAGAACTAAAATTATAAAACTCATAGAAGAAAACAGGAAAAGTTTCATAACATTAAATTTGGCAAAGATTTCTTGGATATGACACCAAAAGTACAGTCAACAAAAGAAAAAATAAGTAAATTGGATTATTTCAAAATTAAAACTTTGCACATTGAAGGACACTGTCTAAACAGTAGAAAGGCAACCTATAGAATGGGAGAAAATATTTGCAAATGATATATCTAATAAGGGGTTAATATCCAGAATATATAAAGAACCCCTACACAGCAACAGCAAAAAAACAAACACTCCAATTGAAAAATAGGCAAAGGACTCGAATAGACATTTCTCTGAAGAAGATACTCAAATGTCCAATAAGCACATAAAAAGATGCTCAACATTACCAATTGTTAGAGAAATGCAAATCAAAACCACAATGAGATCCACTTCATCATATCCAATAGAATGGCAATTATCCAAAACCAGAAAATAACAAGTGTTAGCAAGAATGTGGAGAAATTGGAATCTCTCAGCACTGCCGGTGGGAATGTAAAATGGTGCAGCTGCTGTGGAAAACAATATGGCAGTTCTGAAGGAAAGAGAGAAAAAAAGAAGAGAAGGAAGGCAGGCAGGCAAGCAGGCCCATACGGCCTAGCCATTACTCTCGGTGTACACTCAAAATAAATAAAAGCAGGGACTCAAACAGATATTTGTATACCCATGTTCACAGCAACATTATTTACAATAGCCAAAAAGGTGGAAACAATCCATGTGTCCATTGACAAACGAATGCATAACCAAAATGTGGTATATATGTACAATGGAATATTGTTCAGCCTTAAAAAGGAATAAAATTTTGACACATAGTACAATATAAATAAACCATGAATATATTATCCTGAGTGAATAACCAGACACAAAAGGGTAAATATTGTATGATTCCATTTATATGGGGTACCTAAAGTAGTCAAATTCAGAGAGGCAGGAAGTGGAAGGGCGGTTGCCAGGGCGGGGCTGGAGGGAAAGGCGGGCAGGGAGTTAGTGCTTGGTGGGTACAGAGTTTCAGTTCTGCAAGACCGAAAGGGTCCTGGAGATGAATGGTTGGTGATGTCTGCACAACGGCCTGAATGTACTTAATTCCACTGAACTGGACACTGAAAGTGGCTGAGATGGGAAATTTTATATTATATCTATTTTACCACAATTAAAAATAAGTGTAAAAAACATATAAAAGTAAAGACAATCATATAATTGCTTCCAACAGATATGCCCTGTGAAACTATCAGTGTTCTCACACGCATGCCAATGACTAACATGTTAAAAAAAACCCAAAACAAGTTGATCCAATAATTCCAATGAAAGAAGATCTTTTGAAATAGAAAAAATTGCTCTATTAATTCATTCTTCCTTTTTAGTATATTCTATGTAGTCTTTTTCAACAACAAAAGAAGGCATTACTTTTTCTTTGGGATCTATAGTTATTTTCTAAAATATTAAAAGGTGTCCTTCATAGTCTTCTGATGACTTAATTTCCTTTTTTTCTTAGATATTCTCCTGAAAAAAAAAGAACATGATTATTATTTGTGAGCAGCAAATTATCACCACAATATGATTCATTCATTTATTTGTTTATCCATAAACATTGGCGAGTGACTACCAGGTTCTAGGCACTGTGTTGGGTGTTGAAGATACAAGGATTGGTGATAGTTAGGACCCAGTCCCCGCCCTCAAGGAATTCATTGTCTAGCAGGGGAGGTAGAAACTTAAAAATATCAATTATGCTCTTAGAATTTTTCATAATAAAAATTTAAATAGTCATAATTCTTTACTTCTCATTTCTGTAATTATAATGTGTAGTTTTTGATAAATATACACATATTTATCAAAATATAATTATATAGAAAAAATATAATTAAAAAAGAAGTGAAGGAAATAGAAGTAGTGAGACATGTAACTGGCTCCTGAGTGGGTATCGGCTCTGTCCATCCCTCACGAGCATCCAACCACTTTCAAGAGAGCCCATCCCCGTCCCACAGCAGTGGGTCTTAGTGGCGTGATGTCAGCTGTCTCCGTCAGACTAATACACATTCTTTGGAGGCTTTTGTGGCTTTAAGCAAGGATGTATAATTTCTAATAAAATTTTCTTAAAAAGAACTCATCCTGAAACATACACTTTCTTTAAAATTGAGGTTAATGTTTTAATTGGGTCACACTATCAAATTTTGATTCTTTCAGTAGTTTTAATGTAATATCCTTGAAGCATGCTCACTTAGTGATACACTTTTTTAGTGATGCAACATTATCACACACCCTAGAACTCTCCCTTCTGAAGCCTCAGAAGTATATCACATATATTATTTGTGATGATCTTTCAGCACCATTTTTTTTGCAATGTGCATATACAAATAAGACAATGGGAGTATTAAAAATGTGAGAACTTGAAAAAAAAAAGAATGTATGGTTTCTCTGATGGTACAGAATTTCTCAATTAATCCTTTAAGATTCAGCCTCCAGAGCCTCTCCTGATTCTGTTAGGCAGGAACCATTCATTTATTTGTTCATCAAACGTGAATTAATTGCCTACACAACATTTGACACTAAGGTACTGGAGAAAGGAGAATGGTTACAGTCTAGGTAAACAAAGAAACATAATGGCAGTAATAATGAAGGTATGCGTAAAATACATAGCACAGTGAAGAGACGCCTAAGGTCTCACTCGGGTCTTCACTTTCTAGGACTATGCCAACTGGATGTGAAGGGGTGGGAACAGAAAAGGAAGACATTTCAGGAAGATAAGATAGCACATATACAGGCATGGAAGGATTTCCTAGTTTATTAGGATAGTGCAGTGCATGTGGTAGATCACCACTGAGTGTTTGTTGAAAGAATGAAAGAACTGCTACTTTCCTTGTTAGTAGAAGGAAAGAACTATTTCAAAAGATTGCTCAAGCAACTCCAAAATTTTTTTAGACACTTCAGTTTAGATTATAAATCTAAACACAATCACAGTGTATATCATTTATTAAGCTGAGCTCACATAGATATAATTTCCCAGTTCTATATTAGATCTTTAATCAAAAATATATAGACATGGAAGGAGATTGGAGTAGATAACAAGCTGGCTGCCCGGTTCATAATAATTTCTTTTTCTGTAAAAAGTCTCTTTCTATAGAGCAGTTCCCCTACATCTTTTGTTTGTTTAACCTGTTGCCTCCCTCCTCCTCCACCACCCAGATGAACACTATAAGGGTAAACCATATGATCTAAGACTTGTCAAATCAGGGTCTCAAAAGAAATGAAGAGGTAGGATGTGAGGCTTGGCCACAGTTCCAGGCAGGAAAGATGGCAGTTCACAATGGGACAGAGCAAACCTGATTCTCTTAGGAGAGACCAGACAAAAGTTCTGGCAGCGTTGGAATCATTTTCCCTATGGCTCAGCTGGACTCCATCCTTCCAGTGGTTCTAAAAGAATCCTCAGTATCCTCCCAGTCAATTCCTACTCCTGTGTCCTAGCGGATTTGGTCTCTGTCACTTGCAGTCAGAAGACTCGACCACCACAGGGAACAAAGACAGGCACTGGGAGACAAACTTACCCAGCTTCTCTGTGGCTTCCACACAGACACTGGGATACATGCCCTCAGTGTAAGTTGCCACCAGAAGGTACAGGTTGGTCTTCACAACAACCACACCAGTGTTTTCCTGGATAAGAGTAAAATTGAATGTCTTACTCTTGGGTCTAATCACAGGACTACCAGTTGCGCTCCAGCTGTATTTTTAACCATTTGCTGACTTCCATATATGTGTTCATGCATTTGTTTCTGGACTCTCCACTCTGTTCCACTAATTTAGTTATTTTTATTCTAAAAGTTTTAGGCTGTTGTAGTAACAGCATGGGTATTTTGAAAAAGTCCCCCAATTGATTGCCATATACCCCTATCCCAACGAGAAAGGTTAAATACACATTTTGAAACTGGAGAGCTCTGGGCTTGAATCCCAGCACCTCCATTTCCTGCTGCATGACTACAGAAGAGTTACCTAACCTTGCTTAGCCTCAGTTTCCTCATCTGTAAATTGAGGCTACTTCATTTACAATGTGGATGAAGTGTGCCTAATCCATAAAATAGGGCTTCTAGTAAATGAGATTTCATCCCCTTAATTCATTACAGGCAACAGAAAGTCAAGAGAGGTTTTAAGCACCGGGTGGCAGCACGTTTTTATTTTTTTATTTTTTAAGGAGGATGCAGAATACAAAGGATGGACTGTAGATGGAAAGAGGCAGTTCAGGCAAGGTTTAGTTGATAGATTCTCCAACAAACATTTCTCAAACCAGGCCCTCTGTAAGTACTTCTTCCTTTTGCATATGCTCTCCTGGCACTAGACTGCTGTCTCAAACATTGCCACTGCAACAATGGGCTGTGTCTGTTTTTTAGATGACATTATAAGAGACACTGAAAATTGAAGTCGAATTCTTAAGGTTTTACACGGCTGTCTTCAAATCTTCAATACTCACATTCTTAGCATAAAGAGAATAATCATCTGCCCGGACACATTTATAGTCCTTTTCCTTGAAATACAGTCCTTCTCTTCTGACTTGCAAAGGGTTCTTGGCAAACCCATTCACAAGTGTCCGGACATCACTGGGCATTACCTGCAGAGGTTAAATAGATGGGGAGTCAGCAAACTCTGCCAGGCTGGCCACATCGGGCCCACTCCCTGTTTTTATACGCCTGCAAGCTAAGAATGGTTTTTACACTTTTAAGTAGTAGGGGGGGAAATCAAAAGAATAATTTTGTGATGTGTAAAACTTACATGACATTAAAATTTCAGTGTCCATAATTAAAGCTTTATTGGAATACGGTCATATCCATTCTTTGGTTGTATTGTGTATGGCTGCTTTCCATTACAACTGCGGAGTGATTGTGTAGTTGTGGCCCAGTCCATATGTCCTGGAAACCTAAAATGTTTACTATGGCTCTTTATAGAAAAAGTGTGCTTAAAACTCCTGTGCCCAGACTCTTCTCTTTTTTTTTTTTAATTTAAAACTCTATGCCCACACTTATTTTTCTTACACTGAACCCTGGTGATGCTACACACAGGCTCCGCTCGTGGATTTTGATGAGGGCCGCACTGTCCACATGCTTCGTGCCCAGGAGGGAATCCAGCAGCAAGTTCTGCAGATGGCTCATGCGTCCTCAGCTCTGAAGAAGGCTGCCGGGCGAAGGGTCCTCTCTGACTAGCTTTTAAAAGTCCTGTGAACACAAGTCTCCCTAAGATTCTTTGGATAGGTTACTCTCAGCATGCGTTCTCTGAGAAGATGAAGAGCGGAAGCGGTGGTCCATCACCGAGTGTCCACCAAAACTCAGAGGAAAATGAAATCAGAGACTCATAGGAAATTACAGTTCACACAGAGCAAGTTATGCAGTGAGTTTGGACAAGCACAGCTCACAATTTTCTAGCTCTGTCAGTGGTTTGCCTCAGAATCATCTAGGATGAAGAAACAAAAAACAAACACCTGCTGGGATGGGGAAGCACTGAACACAGTAAACAAACTAAATGATGGGCTGGTCATGAGTCCTCGATTTCTCTTCCCACTGACAGGCAATCAGGACACTGAACACCAGCCCGGCGAACTAAAAGCATCTTTAAGCTACTTAAAGCAACATTTTCCCCACAGGTCACCGTCTTCCTGGACGGTCCTTATCAGGCCAACCTCCACAAACACTCGCCCTTGCAAGGGACACTGAGCATGGGCCACAGGTGGGGCAGGGTGAGAAGGTGGCGGTAGGGTTCCCCCGGGCGGGGGTGAGAGCCATGGAGGGGGTTTATAGCAGAGCTGTTGGCTGGGGAGGCGCGCGGGAGGCGCGGGGGACTTGGGGAAGCGCGGTGAGCCAGCAGGGAGCGAAGCCACCGAGCTCTCGGGCCAGGAGCCCAGAGCTCAGCTAGGACCTGGTGTGCGGAGCCACAGCCCGTCCGCAGACAAGGGGGAAGGCGACGTGCCAGCTATTGGCTGCGACAGGTGCCCATCGCCGAGAAGCACTCCAACTCGGTTCGCAAACTAGGATCTGCCAACCCGCGTCTACACTTCGGCTTTCCAGGTTTCTTCTCCGCCTGATGGGCCTGCGGGACGCACATGCACGGGGCTCAGAGGGGCAGCCGCGGCTGGGGCTCCCGAGCCGACTGCCCCGCCGGAGCCCGGGGTCCTCCGACCGCTTCCGCGCCGCGTGGACTTGTTGCCGTTGCTCCCGCACCGCGGGACCCTGGGCGCGAAACGCTCTTACATTCCGAGGCCGCGAGCGCGAGCGGACTGGGCCGCGGGCCAAGCAGGCTCATCCTCTATCCACAGCAGACGCCTCCGGGCCGTGCGCGGTCGCCGGGCCCGCGCGGTGCAGGGGCGCCCAGAGCCCGGCGGTCCTGGGAGGGGGGCGTTGGTGGTAAGGTGCGGGTACGGCCAGCGCCCTCCTATTAGGCCGGGGGGAGGCCACGCCTCCTGCTGACCCAAAGGGAGGGAAGGGTCGCAGCCTTGGTGCTGTAAGTCTACAACGCGCAATCCCTAATGATAGTTTTTCCCTTAGATACGGTCCTGGGGCGGAGGAGGGGTGGTCACCGGGGACAAGCAAATTGTGTCTGAAAGCCCCTCTTTTCTCCAAGCAGCTCCGTCGGTGTGGGCTTCGGTAGCCAGAAAGTTGGAACCTCCGGCCATCGGTCAGAAAACTGCTGCAATGCGACTCCTAGAAGCCAGGCTGGTAATTGCCACACTGTCTGCCCAGGGCTCCGTGGTGGGCGGAGTGGGAAGCCTGGAATTCAGGGGCACGCGGGTCAGTGCAGCGAAAGCTCCCAGCTTAAAGGAGGCTGGTTCTGAAGACGTTTTCAGGAGCTGTGGTAAAGGCCCCTCGTTAGGGAAGGGTGGGTGGCTAAGGTTCAGGCTCCGTTCATGCGTGCAAGCATCGATTATTCATTAAACAGAAGAGAAGAAGATGGTGGTGAATCCTCATTACTCAAAAAGCAAATTTTTTAGTCTTTCTATAGGCTCTGTTATTTGGGACCACAATGACAATTTTAGACCTCGATGATCTCATAACTGACAAGCTTCCCAGGCTCCAGGGCTCTAAAGAATGGCTGGGACTGCAGCCCCTTCTTTCATGGAGGCACAGTGGTGGGGCATTTGGAAGTTTACACTTGGGTAGTTTCATTGAGACCTGGCTTGTGTGAAACACAATATTTTTTCCTCTTTTCTGTTTCATTCTGCTCTTTACTAGTCCCTTCTCTGTGTTTGCTCTTCATTTTCTAGCATCTTAAGTTGGAAATCACTAAGTTGGAATTCTTAAGTTGGTCATTCATTATATACCTTTTCTAATAGACCAAAGCTTCTTTGAAGCACATCACCCAAATTTATTCATGTTGTGGTTTCTTAAGATTGCAGTTTCTTCTTTTCCAAACAGCTTTATTCAGGTATAGCTGACATACATACAATAAACTGCACATATTTAAAGTGTAGAGTTTGGTTAATTTTGACATGTATTCGCACATGAAGCCGTCGTCACAATCAAGGTGACACATTCCATGCTCCCCAAGTGTCTCCATGGTGTCCCATGATCATCCCTCCCTCCCTGCCAGCCTGTTTGTTTCTGTTTTGTTTTTTTTTTAAGGTAAGTATATTCCTGTTACTCTCTCTTGCCTGAAAATGGAAGTTCTCATCCTGGCCATTATTTTTTCAAACATTTTTTATGGTCCATTCTTTTATTTATCACTTCTAGGACTGTAGTTTCCCACTTGCCAAACCTTGTACAGTTGTCTTATAAGTCACTGCAAGTATGTTCGTTATTTCCCAATCTTTTTTCTCTCTGTTTTTCAGATTGGATAATTTCTACTGATCTGTGTTAAAGTTCATTGACTCTCATTTATTTATCTATCTGTTTGTTTTTATTGAATTTATTGGAGTGACATTGGTTAATAAAATTTTAAGGTTTCAGGGGGGAAATTCTGTTATACATCACACTTTTTATTTATGTCATCTGCAATCTGCTATTACGCTCATTGAAGTTTGTTTATTAATTTTAGGAATTGTATTTTCCACTTGGTTTTTTTAATAGTTTATATTTCTCTGCTGAGATTTTCTATCCATTCATTATGAGCTCATTTCCTTTAACTTCTTAACTATAGCTATAATAATTTACCTAAAATCCTTGTCTGCTGATTTCAACATATGGCCCATCGCAGAGCTGGTCTCCATTGATTACCTTCCTCTCAAGTATGGGCCACATTTTTCTGTTGTGTGTGTGTCTCTAATAATTCTACACTATATTTTGGACATTATACAAAGGGGGGCCCCCCAAACCCCCAGAATTTATTTATAAAAAGTATGTATTTATTCTTACATGTTTTAACTTCAGTCACCTTCAAAGTATTCTCCATTTGATGCAATACATCTATTGAGACTTTTTTCCACTGCTCAAAAAAGTTTTTAAACTCATCAATTTTGATGCCTTTTAGTGCTTCTCCTATTTTTTGTTTCACCTCCTCCACATGGGCAAAATGTTTCCCTCTGAGGACTTTTTTCATCCAGGGAAACAAAAAAAAGGGTGAGACCAGATGAACAGGGAGGCTGGGACATGGGGTCAGGCCATATTTTTTTTTATCAGAAACTGCTGAACACTCAGCACAGAGTGGGCAGGTGTGTTTGAAAAATCACCCATCATGAAATGGGCAAACCCATTGAAAGAGCCTTTAAGAAAAATTCACTGAAGTTGAACTCAGGCTCTCACAACAATGCCAGCTGGTGCACCGATACAGATGGGTTCCTACCTAGAACACTTACCTAGTAAGGGACGCCTGTACTACATGGGGCCCACCCTCCAGAAGATAATTCCTGGTTTGTTTGGTTTTTGTTTTGTTTTGTTTTGTTTTTGATTGCCCCTCATACACGATGCCTTGTGAAGAATCTGGGTTCTGTTATATTCCTCTGAAGAATATTGAGCTTTTCTTTTAGCAAGCTAGAGTTTGAGCTCAAACTTTAAACTTTGTTTTTCCTGCACTTGGCAGCAGATAAAAATTACTGTTTAGGCTTTTTTAGCTTTAGATGGGCTGCATGGAGTCTGCCTGGTACATACATAGTTCAAGGATCTACCAAAGATTTGGTCAGATTTTATTTTCACAATTTGTGGCATCCCCTCTGCAGCTTTTTCTTTCAGGTATTTCTCCTCTCACTTTCCAGCTCCTATGGTTACCAGAACTGTCTTCTAATTCTTGAATCTGTAAACTTGAATGTGTCTGTGTGAGTTTGAGCCAATTCTTTTAGCCCTAACTGAGATCTGCTCTTAGACAAAAGTCCATAAAAAACTGAAAATTTGTCCAGTGCTGTTTATTTTCCCCCAACTGTTGACTACCCCTGTAGTTTCTCCCTGCTTTTGGTCAGTTTCTAGTGTTTTCAGATGGTTGGTTTTTCTATTTCTGTGTAGAATATTAATTCAGTACCCATCTTGGTTTTGAGAACAACATATTTGCCTGGGATTGCAAGCAACTCTGGGATGCAGAAAGAACAAAGATAGTGAATCCAGAGTTAAACACATTTAAGTTTAAATTCTTGCTCAGTGGAGGATTTTCTAGGTTTCTAGTTGTCGTATAACTCCCATGAGCCTTAATTTTCTCGGGTGTTAACAGGGAAGGTTTTAGTTCTTGGATTTTGAGATTATATTCAACTATTTTGAAATCAAGAGTAGTGGAACTGAAGTCTACTACCAATGACAGCAAATTTGAGAATATTTTATTTTTGTGTAATTATGAGAGGACTTCAAAGGGCCATCCCAAATCTCCCATTTGGAATTGTTTTAAAAATCATTTTTCCATTGTAGTGAAATATATACCATAACATTTGCTATTTTTAAGTGTACAGGTCAGTGATATTAATTCCATTTTCATGTATGCTAGAAATCAACCTTTTGTATTTTCTATTAGATATTTGTGGAAGATTTGTTATAAAAACAAAAATATTAATGTTATTAACTATTTCCTGAAGATTATATTACTTTAAAATCTAAAACTGTGACTTGTATATAAAAATATTTATTATTAATATTTGATACCTATAACAACTAAATGAGTTCAAACAGAATTCACTAACAACTAACTGAATTCAAATAGAGGACTGATTATATCTATTTTAACTCAGAAAGGTAAAGGCATTTTATAG